CCCCAAAACCCCAAAACCCCAACTGTTTATATAGAAATCAAATTTGGAGTATTACAATCATGAAATTAACTTTTACAATTAGTTTTTATCATCAGTTATGTATGAGTTTTATAAAAATCTTCAGCATCAATATTTATGTGTAAAACTGTCCCTTCCAACGTTCAAGATCTCATTCAGGATAACTGCATTACTTTTACTCTTCATCATAGTCCCACCAAGACCAATCCTCGATTGTGATCTAAAAATATTTTATGGTGCATCACTATAAGTCATCTAACTTTACAAGTCTCTTTAGGATGCCCTTCCCTGTGCACCAGTAGTCACCATTTTCAATCTAGTTTAAATCTTTTGCAGAGTTTGTAAGTGAGGATCAAGTTTTCGGATTTCATCTAGTTTTTCATTGATTACTCTGAAATTCTTTCTGATTTTAGTTGCTCTTGGGTCAACAAAATTTTGAATTCTTCTGCTTTGATTGGACTTAATTTAGTCTATATCTTGTTTAAACCTATATTCTTCATCGTCAGCTTATCTTTATCTCTCAAATATCTAATCTAACTAGCCATTAATCTACTTCGATATTTAATCTACAAACTCCTCAGCTCTTGTTTTTTTCTGTCTAAGCATTAATTTAGGCTTTTCCATATCTGATTCAATCAGTGACTGTGCCTGCTTCTTCTTGTTATTCTTCTTGGTCTAGTTATTTTTCTTCATAAATTGTGTTTTTACAGTAGATACATACGCTTTTACTTCTTACTCTTCATCATCCAGATAGTTATTGATCAGCATTTCCTTTTAAACAAAGAACTAAGTAATATTTTTCTCCTTACTAATTTCCTTAATAGGGTTGAACTTGGAATCTCTCACATATTCTTAGAGGATATGGTAGTTGTTATTTTAAAGAGTCTCAATAACAGAATTCTTAAATTCAGCAGTATGCAAGTCCTCACGTGATTAATGCCGATTAATACCACTTTAAATTCGAGGAAGGGTGTATTGTGTGGCCATTTTTTCAGGATTAATTGGCTAAGGGTCAGGATACTGTTTAAGTTATTCAGGCAAAGCTGTTTCCATTAGTTTTAATGGCTACTGATTGATATGCTATTGATCAGATAAGACTTATTGAAGCTAAGCTCCATGTTGAACCTTGCTTTTCCTTTCAGCAGCTGCTTATAGAAAGAATTACAGTTCGTGATTCTCTAGTTTCCTTTTTTCAACGAAGAATTTTCTTTTTTGCAAAGTAACTTAAATGTCATTCGATTTCATTTTAGCTCTATAATTATTTTCTAAAATTTTATTTCTTCACATTTAAATATATTTAAATTTAAGGGGTTTTGGGGTTTTGGGGTTTTGGGG